GGTTTAGGGTATAGGTTTTAGGATTCGGGGTTTAGGGTTTAGGGTATAGGTTTTAGGATTCAGGGTTTAGCGTTTAGGGTTTGGGGTTTAAGGTTTAGGGATTAAGGTTTGGGGTTTAGGGGTTTAGGGTTTAGGGTTGCCTGGTGCTGCTCGGTTTCTAACTTTTCATGATTGTGTGTTGGGCCACTGCTCCTCATGGACAGCCTGTTCTTCACAACCTCCCCGCAGGATCATTTGACTTTTTCTGCGGTTTTCGAGCTGACCCCGGACGCGGAAATGGTCAGTGCGCAGTTCAACAAGGTGCGTCAGTAGATGGTGGGTGACCGGGATGCCGGGCAATAGAATCGAAATGAGAATGGAACATGCTTGAGGCCATGTTTCTTGTGCTGTTACAAAGATGCAAAAGAATACTACACCATTGTTCCTGCAGGGATGCACCCCTCAATAAAGCTATACGTTCAAGTCCATTTCGCTACATGAATTCATCGATCACGGATTGTGTGACTAGTTTTATTTTACTGTAAGTGCTTGATAGAAAGTCGTAGTCGTTTTCGAATATACATGCTATATGGAATGTCTACTTTGACTAAACCCACAAAAAGCAGGCCTCCGCAATGTCCCGTATCGACAGTTGCATGTGCAACGAGCACAAAATTTCACAGCCAGGCAGTGCTAAAGTTTGCGAATTGTGGTAAGTACTCGAAGTGTGATCATGCTGCTTGTTGTTGAGGGAGCTTTTGATGCCGAATCGGTGAAGCTTTGATACTTAGCCCAATTCAAAGCTTCCTTCATGGTATTGCGAAGCTCTCCAGGCTGTGATTCGATCCAGAGGGGCTCTTTCCTACAAGGAGGCGTATGCCGCATGATCTCGCACATTTTTGGTGCAAATTTGCGAAGGTCTCATTTGGCATTCAGTAGGGATCACTTGCGAAGCATGAAGCGATTCAAGGATGTCAGATGCAGATATGTTCGCAGGCTAGCTTTTACAGTGGATTTGCCGCCTGCACGATGTTGCGACAAGGGATTGTCAGCATCGCCTCACGGGGGAAATCTTGCGCAAAGATTTGCTTCTCTGCGACAGGTCTCATGCAAGCTGTATGTAGCAGTTTATCAGCAATATGGCTGCAGCCCTCAACTCATAGCCACGAACTGAAGCAATGCCTGTGTACCCTCGGATTACATGTGCCGTGTCTACCCTTCAGCTGTCAATCGTGGCCTGAATTCAGCAGAACGAAGCAGCAGATGAGCCTCAATTGCAAGTTCGCCGGACGGCTCTCGCGATGGTGTAGATGAGTGTAGGTTACAAGATGGTGAGAAGGTGACAGGAGATCAGCGCCTCAAACTTGCAAGACAGGGACGGTCCTACTGCAAGCTGCACCTTCAGTATCAGAGCACCGGCTGAATTCTGAAGCCTGTGCCAGGCTCAAGAAAGGTTGGACTCCGATCCAGCGGACGACCAGTCGGAAGTCAGCCCCCTACAACTCTGCCTCGTTTGGGCCTTAAGTTTTGGTAGAAGTCGAAATCCGTGTCACGGTATTCGAAGCTTGATGGATGTGGCGAAGCCGCTAGAATGACATAGCGCTGACCCGCTGGCTTTCATGCTGTGGTGCCACAGATGTCTACCCCAAATGACGCAGCTCCGAGTCTTTACTTCTTGTTACTGCTTCTACTGCCGCGAGAAGTGGGTTCGCTCAAAAAGGCCTTTTCCGCCTAGCCTTCACATCTATTGAGCGTCATCTGTGTCCCCTTTCAACAGAAGCAGTGGCAAGACAAGAACAAGTCTATGCCTGGCTCTACCTGCACTGATTATAACCTTCCACTGTCACGCCTTCATGTTCTTGGATGTTCCACCTAGCCTATGCCTATGAGGTCACCGTGGCCATCCGAGACCTCTGGGCTCTGGCCCAAAAGCTTCGGTCAAAGAGGATCGAGGCGTCCGCTGCATGGTGCGGGTCTGGCTTGGGGCTGTGCCAAGGCATGGAAGAACCAGTCTGTTTTTGACTTTCGATTGGGCTTGAAGACCCCAAATCCCTGATTGTCAGACGCCTTCGCAGATGTGGTAGGCGCGATGTAGAGGGTCCCCGACTAGCTGTCAACAGCCCTCGCATTCCGCAGCTAACTCCTACTCCTAGTACTGCTACCTACTACTACGACTGCTTGTCCTACTACTTTGACTCCACTTACTACTCGTATTACTCCTGCTCCTCCTACTACATCTACTACTTTCATTACTCCTACTATTCCTACTACTGCTGCTACTTCTCTTATAGTCGGTCACCACTACTACTACTACTACTACTGCTACTACTACTACTACTACTACTACCACTACTACTACTACTACTACTACTACTACGACTACGACCACTACTACTACTACTACTACTACTACTACTACTACTACGACGACGACGACGACGACGACGACGACCACGACTACGACCACGACGACGACTACCAGTACCACTCTAATTCGCACATTTTGATCCCCCCTAAACCCTAAACCCTAAACCCTAAACCCTAAACCCTAAACCCTAAACCCTAAACCCTAAACCCTAAACCCTAAACCCTTGCCAGGACGGAGCCCTGAACTTGGAGAGCGGCGAGCTGAAGTTCGAGCGCCTCACTTGGACGGCACATCCGGGATCATCGTCGCGGTAGTGGGACAAACTAGAAAGTAGTTGCGATAGAAAAGGAGTAGCAGCAGTGGTGGAACTAGTAGTAGTAGTAGTAGTAGTAGTAGTAGTAGTAGTAGTAAGCAGCAGCTGCTACCAACGGAACCCGAACGAACCGACGAAGAGAAAGCTTGTTGAACCAGCCCTGCCGCTTGTCTCGCGCGGTTGAGGGTACCTTCGAAGAATGGGATTCTAACTAATCAGGCCTAGAGGTTCTGCGGCGCGCGAGGCCTCAGCTCAGCTAGATGTGGGGTTTCCGAAAGTAGGGACCCTAAAATAGTACCTTAAATAGTAGGATCCGTATTATAAGGACCCCAAATAAGGTACCCCCTATTTTCGGAAACTCGCATGTTTCTGTGTCCCCCTCCAGGATCGAAGGCTTAATAGTCCAGGTCTGCGAAGTGCAACTCAGGCTTGCGTTAGCCTGCGAAGATTCACTTAGCTACCTGCCGGAATACGGAGGCCTGGCACACCGCCAGAATCCCCTGAGCCTTGCGGACTGTGCAGGATCATCTAGGCATGTGGGTTAGGTAGGGCGCAGCCGTCTCCTTGAACAGGTATTTGGGGGGTGCAGATGCCGCCAGCAATGGTAGTCCGATGCTGTACCTTTAGCAGCGCCCAGGCTCGACTCAGAGAATCAAACTGCTGTCAACGTCTTCCAGTACCAAACCTACGACACCAATCGCCTCATCGAGGTTCGACAGTGAGATGCTTCGGGGAAAACGGGGACCGGGAAGGGTTTAGGATTCCTCCAGTTATCGGGCTTAGGCAGACATCAACCATCTGGATGCTTTGGGCCACACATCTCCTTTGCTCTCCTCTCCATAGGATCCATAGAGGCTAGTCTTTCCTGCTTCGGTTTGAGGGTTTGGGGTTGGGGGTTCAAGGTTTGGGGTTGAGAGTTTAGGATTTATAACTTTTGGGGCTTAGATGTTGAGCGTTATTTAGGGTTGGAACACCCCTGCAGGAGTTCATGCTCCTGGCGAATCGGAGAGTGGCGGAGGCTCGAGGGAGAGTGCGTGTGTGGAGATTCGCCCCTTTCATTGTTTCCTGTTGTACTGCACCAGCAAAGGCAGTATATTATAGTATATTATAGAATACTTGAGTATAGTAGTTTTTTAGCATTGTATAATACAGCAAAATACAGTAGAGAACAGTATGTTACACTCGCACGGCCAGCTTGAGTGTTCGTCACTTGCTCTCGCCCGCCCCACAGAAAGGCTTTCTGTCAGTTTGTTCACGTTGCACAATAGCATGCGAAAAACAATATTGTGTGTATTATTGCAGCTCCCGCCTCCCCTTCTTTGCAGCCTCAAGCGCACCCTGAGCCCAGCGATGCCCAAATTCTACAGTATGCTACAGTATACTACAGTATAGTATATAGTCCATTCCCCCGATCTTTAACCGGGGGAGGCCCCCTCCACCCCAATAAAAACTGGGAAGTGTTTCTATTTGTTAGGGGTCATTTTTATCTCTACTGTCACTTTTGAGGGATCTTGCTCTTGGTGCTGCTCTGCCTCTGCTCCAGCTGCATCTCTTGCTCTCGCTCCTGCGCGTGCTTTTGCTCTTGCTATTGCTTCTGCTCTTCCTCTTGCCTTTGCTCTTAATGCTCTCGCTCTAGCTTTCGCTCTCTTACTCCTGCTCTTGCTCCGGACCCCCTGATGCAAATTAGGTTTTGAAGGGCAGGGACGATTTCGGGAGGATTGGCCCCAAAGTGCTTCCATAATTACGGGGGGTCTTCAACAAATGGGGGAAGCGATCATAATGGTATAGTCTAGTATAGTCTAGTATGGTATAGTATAGTATAATATAGTCTGGTGTAGTATAGTCTAGTACAGTATAGTACAGTATAATGTAGTATAGTATAGTATAGAAACAAGGAGATCAGTGGCTGCTGGGAGCAGACGAGCGTTTTGCGACGGCATCCGCCGCCGAAGGCCAAGGGCTGACCGGGGGAGTATAGTAGAGTAGAGCATACTACAGTATAGTAAAAGTGTAGTATAGTATAATATAGGCTATACTATATAGTATACAATATAGACTATATTATATAGTATAGTATAGTATAGCATAGTAAAATAGGGTATAGCCACAATCTGCGCATGCAAGGGTTTCGACTTGCGATGCAAACGTTCTATGGCAAGTTCTCGCCAGCGATGAATGCTGCCATCTTCTCGCAGTTCTGAAGTTCTAGTACACCTCTAGGTCCAGATCCTCTATAACGCTGTTCGTGTTTGCTAGCGGGAATCCAGCCAGGAGGAGAGCATGGACGACTTGGTGACCCTGCTGGATGTACCCTGGCAACTGAGGGTTTAGAAGATTCGGGCCTCGCGTCTCGAGCCTCGCGCTCCTGGGGTTTACGATTGTATTCTCTAGCAAGATCTTATTTTTGATGTTATTTGATGTTGTATGGTAGTATATGATACTATAGGGCATTACGAAATATTGTTTGCTATTTTATGATACTACATGGTATTATATGGTTTCTTAGCATATCATATCATGTCATGTCATATCATATCATATCATATCATATCATATCATATCATATCATATCATATCATATCATATCATATCATATCATATCATGTCAGTCATATCATATCATATCGTGATATGCCATGCTAAACCGTATTACATTAGATGGTATTGACTATAGTGTGTCATGTTATACTACACGGTATATGTTTATAGTGTCATGCCATATTAGATGATACCATTTCGTTTGATTCAATGTCATAACTCTTCTATGTGGCTTTGTGGCTTTATAGTTCATCATACTCGTTTTTATGCTACTATACCATTTTATGTCATATCATATTTTGTTGCTATATATTCTATCAAGCTGTATCATATCTTATTATACTGCATCATATCATATCATATTATATCATATCATATCATATCATATCATATCATACCACTTGTAAGCTATATTATTAAGCTTATTATGTTATATTATACTATATTACATTCTGCTATATTTTAGTGAACTATATATTATATCATGCCAGATTGTAACATGTTCTATTGTATCGTACTTTATCATACTATATTCTACTGTAATGTATTGTATTGTGGTGTATTGTATTGTATATGATTGTATTGTAGTTTATTGTACTGTATTGCATTGTGCTGTATTGTCTTGCCTAGTTATCTTATAGCATCTTATGTCATGTTGTGCTCTATCATGACACGTGTTTGGATATCGTGCGGCTAGGGCTTCGGGCAGAGGGTTTAAGAATTTGTGAACTGCTCAGACGGCACATGTGGCGAGGAAGCCTCTCTGTCTCTGAAAGTCTGTGTCATCGTTCAAGTTCCTGCTCCTGTCCCTGGTTGCCGTTTTCTCTCGCCCGTCTCCCCGTTTGCTGTGACCTTCCTGGCTGCAGGCTTACGGGATCAAAGACTTCAAGCATGCCACGAACAAGGACAGAGAGTATGGTTGGCATGTCGGACTTGATGGCGCAAGAGTTGCGGTTCTAAAATGTTCCCCTCTGGCGTTGAACGTTGCGTTCATTTGCGATGCTACCAGAGAACCCAGACCCCTCTGCGAAGATATGCGTGTAAATTCAAGATACTGTCCTCTAAGCCCTGAACCCCTAAACTCCTAACCCCTATAACCCCTAAACCCTAAACCCCTAACCCCTGACCCCT